TCCGGGGGTGCCAATCCGGGGGTGCCTATTCCGGGGGTGCCGGGGGGGGGGTGCCAATCCGGGGGTGCCAGCCGCGGGTGCCGATCCGGAGCTGCCGCAGGTGGACTCGAAGGTGACGCTGGCACTGGGTGGCATCGCCGTGGTGCTGGGCGCCGTGCTGGCCGCCATGGGGCTGCTGGCACTGCTGGGGCTGCCCTCCTCCCTCATCATCATCGAGGTCGTGCCCTTCCTCGTGCTGGCCGTGGGCGCCGACAACATCTTCATCTTCGTGCAGGAGCTGCAGGTGGGCACCGCGGGCACCGCGGGCACCGGGGACAATGGGGGAACCGGGGGGCACCGGGGACAATGGGGGAACCGGGGGGCACCGCGGGCACCGGGGGCACCGGGGACAATGGGGGAACCGGGGGGCACCGCGGGGCACCGGGGGCACCGGGGGGCAATGGGGGAACCGGGGGGCACCGGGGACAATGGGGGAACCGGGGCACCGGGGACAATGGGGGAACCGGGGGGCACCGCGGGGCACCGGGGGCACCGGGGGGCAATGGGGGCACCGGGGCGCACTGGGGGATGGGGGGCACCGGCAGAACCGGGGCAACCGGAGGGCACGGGGGGCACCGGGGGATGGAGGTGGCACAGCGACACGGGGCACTTGGGGGACATGGGGGTGGGGGGGCGTAGGGGGCACAGGGTGGGCACAGGGCGCCCGCGGGTGCCCCTGGATCTGGGGGTGCCCTGGGTAACCCCGGAGCCGGGGGTGCCCCCTCGATCTGGGGGCGCCCCTGGGTGTCTGGGGGCGCCCCTCGGTGTCTGGGGGCGCCCCTCGGTGTCTGGGGGCGCCCCTGGGTGCCCCCCGAGCCGGGGGTGCCCGGGGTGCCCCTGACCCGCCCCTGGCAGCAGCAGTCGCAGCGGGAGCCGGGCGAGACGCGGGAGCAGCAGCTGGGACGGGTGCTGGCACAGGTGGCACCGAGCATGGTGCTCTGCAGCCTCTCCGAGACCCTCTGCTTCCTCCTGGGTACGGGGGGCACCGGGGGCACCGGGGGGATCGAGGGCACCGGGGGGATCGGGGGCACCGGGGGCACCGGGGGGATCG